AAAAAAAAAAAAAAAAAAAAAAAAAAAATTGTTGAAAACCCTCTTCAACCCAACACCATAATTTGCACCAAAATGGTGCAAGTGAATAGTGAAGAGTGTTTTCCCTTGCACCATTTTGCACCAAAATGTTTAATATCCTTTTTGCCCTCCTTTTCCATGTTGAACCAAATTTTAGTTAAGGATATTTGTGTCATTTTTTTTTGTTATAAAACAAATTTTAATTCTTAATTAATAATAATAATAATTATGATGAACTCAATATTTTCATTAACAAATTGTAATTATTTGTTTAGTAATTTATTTAGTAGTTTATTAAATAAATAAATAAATTTTTAGATAAATAAATTGTTAAGAATGAAAATATGAAGAAAAAATCAAACATTATTCATTTGGTGTAATTTTTGGTGCAATGGATTGGAGATGGTTTTTAGTTTGGTGTAAATTTTGGTACAGGGCTGGAGATAGTCTGATTTCATATTGTATTTAGACACTATCTATTCCAATCAACAGCCGTTTCTAGAATATTCACATGTATTTGTGTTTTCGCTCCTGCATGTTTCCACAGCCATAAATTCTTCGCTTCCTGAATTTCAGCGATTTTAATATTAGGCTGAGTCTTTAACATATCTACATACACAGTTTTTGCACTGTATTTCATTTTTCCTACCTACTTATTTCTTATTTCCCTTCTCTCTTTCCAAATTGGGGTAGAGGAGCTCTGGAAGGAAGTTGTCTCTAGTGTATTGATTTGTGCTCATGTTTGGCTCATGATTATGAATAGTTTATAAACACTTAAGCCACTTTTTTATCCACACACATTTCGGGGACCCACAAGTACGACTTACTTATCCACCACTTATTTCTATCTATTAATAACTTAAACCATTTATAAACACTTTTCAAACATGCTCTTATCTTTGTTTGAACTTTTAGATTTAGGGAATATCTTGTACACATATATACTGTTGAAGAGAATAAGAAACAGTTATACATTTCTACGGATGTTTGCTCGAATATTTATAGTTCATCTAATCATCTTCATATTAAGCTAAACCTACTTGCTTATTGAGGTCGAAACTGGTCCAGTGATTCCAGTGAAGTGCTTGTTGATTATGTGCATGCAGTGTTGTAATCCAATTCTTTTCCCAAAATACTTGTATTGCATGTTTGTGCAGGAATGATAATCCTAAACGGTTTCTTGAACTTTTTCATTCTCTACTTGTTGCGTTATAAATCAACTAGTGCTGAAATATTACGCCTTCTTTTCATCAGCATGACAGCTCCTCTAATACCTTCAAATGCCCTTAAATCTGGAGAGACAGATTTGCAAGTTACAGGTTTGGTTTCTCCATTACTTTTTCTACAAGCAAGTTCTCTTCTTTCTAATCCAATAATGTTTAGTGCCTTCACTGTTTTTTACAAGTAATACAGTAGATGAATATGAAACTATTACTAGTTTCCACCAGAGAATTGGTATAGGACCCATTTGTCACTTCTCTATTAAACAATGAAACTACATAAATTGAAATTTTCAGATCATCACTTAATATGCTACAATTACGGGAGCAGCTTGTTACAGAGTAAATTGAATTAGGATATTAATGAATTTTATCTTCTTCTCAGGAAATCTAATGCGATTCATTGTGACTGCAAATCTTCTTGGACTTCCTGCCATCTCTGTCCCGGTAAGGGATGATGACCTTAATCTTCCTTGGTTCTTCTCAGTGCCCAGTCTTTGATAAGAAATCGATATTTTCAATCTGAAACTTGACTAACTTGCACATTCGTTGTATTTAGGAATTAAGCACAGGTTCCAAAACTGGGTAATTTTAAAGTTATTTTCCTAATTAGTTTTGCTTAATTATATCAAGCAAACAAGAAAGATGAAAATCTTGCGAGCATGGTGCTAAACATATGGTTTATTAGAACAACTGGGATATCTTTTGGGACATAATAAAATTGATCCTTTCTGGCTGAGTTACGATATTTCTACAGTTCTTATTGAATGTGGCCAAAGATCTTGCAAGCCAGTTATATGTTTTAACTTGATCCAGTAGGCCAAAGAATAACAGTTTCCATATTATGCTTTCTGTGCTTTATGAAGTTCAACTCTTTATACGTTGATAATAAATAAACGG